CGCAGGGCAGTGGCACGGGCATTACACGGCGAGCGCCGCTTGGGGCAGCTTCCGAGGTGCCCAAAGAGCACGTAGGTTCAGGCCTATGATGCCACTCTCGCGGCTTGCAGCGCGTCACTCGCGCATGCTCTCCAGGAGCTATGGCGGGCGCGTGTGTGGGGCTGTAGCCTGTGTTTGGCCGGTTCTGACCCGTTTACTATCAGTATCATGTCCGGGCCACAAAAAATCGCACACGGGTAGCGGCTCAGGGGCCCAGTAAGTCGCGGAATCGCCAAATGTCACAACCTGCGCCACCCAGGGCTGGACCTAGTCCTAAAATCTGAGGATTCAGGATTGAGGCATCGCTTCAGTGAGGCCAAAGTGAGTTTATGGATGTGTGAGAACGGTACGGGACACGAGGAAGCACGCGGACCGACTCGTCGGCGACTCTGCTGCACGCCGTTTCAGAATTTTTCTCAGCGTGAGCGAGACGTGGAAGAGTGCCACCGTCGGGTAGGACGGGTCGGCCCGGAGCATCAGAGTAGCCGTCGTGGTCGTGGCGAGCAGCGCCGGCCACTCCGGCGCCGCGTCGGCAACATGGGAGCATGTCCACCGCCACTTCGCGGTCGCAGCGCTGTTGTCGCCCAAAACGCCGCTATGTACCTTTTCGGGCAAACTATCGAGCTGTATGTCGATTTCGACTTGACGGCGGCATGGAGGCATGATGCCTCCATGCCGCCGTCAAGTTGGAGCCAGTCTGCGGCGACCACAGCGCTCAGAAAGGTACATAGCGAGCTTTTCAGAGTCACGCGATTGTGCGAAATCCCACACTGGTGAATTTTGGGGCGCTGTGCACCCCCTACTTTCGAGGGCGAGGAGGACGACCTACCTTCCCCGGTTCCCGGACCCTGGCAGTTTATTGGCCCAGGCCCCAATTTCATCGAATTTATTTCAAAATCTGCAGGCGCGGAGCGCCTGCGAAAATTTTGAAGAAATTTGCAGTCGGGCCTGATTTTCATCAAGATCTTTCAAATTTGCGGTGTGGAGTTGTTGGGGGGCCGGGGGTGGGTTAGGGTTATTAGGGTTAGGGTTAGGGTTAGGGTTAGGGTTAGGGTTAGGGAAGGGCTAGTCTTGTTGTGTCTGTATATGCTAGCGTTGCAGGGTTCTGCGCTGGGTTCTGGCCCCCAGCGCCGACGACTAAGACTCAGTCCCGCACGCTGACCTAGGGTTAGGGTTAGGGTTATAGGGTTAGGGGGGGC